AGCTGTAAAAGCCGGGAAGGATTTTGGATTCCCAAATCTAAACAGCTTAGTTTACTGTTCCGTCTTTTATATCTTACAGTTCTGATAGAATAAATGCACTTAATCTATACTCTAGTATATCTGGATCTTTCATAACTTCTCTGACCTCATCTACTAGTGACAAGTCTGCATACTTCATTTACACTTAATTCTTTTCTATTCCTCAGGCACACACCAAAGGCCTAGGAGCCTTTGTATTCAATTTCCTCTGGAACATTCTTCCCTCCAGCTAGCCACATGACTCACTCCTTTAACTTCTTTTGGGCTTGACTCAAATACCAGCTCTCAAATGCCAGCTTCTCAATTAGGCCTGTCTTGACCACACTATCAAAAGTACTCTTTGCTTGCAGCATACTGTCTCTTTTCTAAGCACGTATGTACACCTAATATACTAAAAACTTTTATTTTTTTTTTTTGTTTTTGACAGTATGTCACGACACACCCCAAGTTGGCCTCGAATTCCCAATATTTCTATTTCTGCCTCTGAGTACTGGGTTTATGTAGGCATGAGATACCAATCTAGCCTCGATACTCTTAATTACATCTCTTTTGCTGAAATATAACCTCTATGAAGGAAGGAAATTCTGGTTGCTCTGTTCACTGATGAATTCCTATTGCTAGATATGTGGTAGGTGCTTGTGAGAGCTAATCTTGGTTGTCAACTTGATACACCTGGAAAAAAAGAGCCTCAGTTGAGAAACTACCTTCTTTGGACTGGCTGGTGGGCAAGGCGGTGGGCATTTTCTTGATAGCTAACTGATGTAGGAGAGCCCAGCCCACTGTGGACAGTGACATCCCAAGGCAAGTAGGCTGGGGCTTTATATACACAAAAATTCAATAAAAAGAAACAAAAAACCAGGTATCTCAAAATGAGCCTGGGAGTGAAGGAGCAAGCAGCTTTCCACCCAAGTCTCTCATGAAGGACTGTGACCTGGAAGTGTAAGATGAAATAAACTCTCCTCTCCAAGTTGGTCAGTGTTTTATCACAGCAACTGAAAGCAAACTAGAATAGCCCTCAGTTTAATTTTAAGGAATATTTAATATATTAACATTAAAAATTCCAATATTATTTTTCTCCTATTTAAAATGAACCACATCTGAGAAAGGAATTACACTGATATGTTGAAAACATATACTGATGAATAAATTCCTTTCATAGTTCAGAAGTTTCCTCTACTCTGACTCCCGTGCTCTGGTATACTTTTTTTCTATTGTTGCTATCTAGTTTTCCTTAAACCTTTCCTTTTAATTGAATAATCCCTAAAAAGAAATATGTGTGTGTGTGTGTGTGTGTGTGTGTGTGTGTACACATACTTAAAGCGATGTTGCTAAATTACTGTGACTTTCACTGATTTCCCCTCATAGCAAAGATGTTTTTATTTTTATTTACTGCTTAAAAGAAAAAATACAAAAAGAAGTGACTTAAGGAAAAGGTGAACAGGTAAAAGGAGAAAGGAAAGAAAAATTAGAGGAACATTCGGGGTCAAAGGTAATGTATACAATTAATTCTCTTGTCATAAAGTAGTCTTTTCCCCATCTGTAAAACATAAATGCTACTTAGCTCTACCAGTCTTTGCTGGCTCAACACCATCAGGTACTACATCAAGAGGAGGGAGAACGTAATTGTTTTCCTAAAAGTGATATTTCACTTTTAAGTGTTGCCAACTCATTTAAAAAAAGATAAAAACAAGATAAAAAATTGTATACCTCAAACCAAATTCAACCACACTGCAAATTCATTCCATGGCTTAACAGTTGGATTTCTAAAAAAATTTATTTATTTATCTATTTATTTTATGAATGTTTTGTGTGCATCTAGCTACCTAGCTACCTGC